GGACAGGGATCCAGGGAAGAGCTGATTCCTACCTACTGACTCACGCTAACTTTGGGCAAAAAACATCCTTTTATTTTGGTTTTGCTCTCATCCTTTCAAACTAGGATTCCTCCTCATGTCTTAATCTTCAGTTGTGCTGAAGAACCTCCTTGCACACACTCTGTGCACATCTGATAAAGGCAAGCAGCAGGAAACAGAGCCCTGTTAACATCTCCGTGGTCAAGAGAACTCCCAAAGGAAGCAATTAGCTGTACCCCTGAGTACTGCAGCACCAGGTCCCATCACATCCAAGGCTTTGCCCTCACAGGTCCCACAGGCAAATTACTCAAAATCTGTCACTCACATGGGTTGATGGAAGAACTCTGAGATAGAAAAGCAGAAAAGCTCCAAGTCCAGATGCCTAATTGACCCATAGATTGACACAGCAGATTAGCTTGTCCTGCTTCCAGAGTTAAGGAGGATGAGGCAGCAGCATCTCTGGCACAGTCAGAGCCATGGGACAGTTCTTCCCCACTCCTTGTGGCAGCACTGACACAATGGAAGCCCCAGGCCATTCCCCAAGCTGCTCACACCCCACAAAGGTGATGAGCAGCACTGAAAAGGGGGAGAGTCCACTTCCAGAAACCTCCCTCTTCCAAAGAGCTCTGCTTTCAACAGACTGAGCTGGCTCAGGGCAGCAAACCAACCAAAGTACACATTCACTTCCAGCCCTGGAGAAAAACAGGAATAAATGCTGGAGAATAAAAGCATCCTGGAACGTAAGCAGATTTTAATTTCTCTCTGGAGCAAGGCTGCTTGAAGCCAGACCAGCAGGGAACGGGAGAGAAAATTAATGTGTTTAAAGCAGCATTCCCTCTGCACTCTAAATTCTCACAGATATGTATTAATTGCAGCAAGACTGGCACCGTGTCCTTGCTCCCACTGTCATGAGTACTCTACCAGAGCTCTCTTAATAACACATCTGACAGCACAGCTCCTGCTGCAAGCCAGGCAACCTCTTACAATGCCACTTGCTGCCCTCAATGGCTGGTGGCACCTCTGGGTGGCCCCAGACAGCGCCACGGGGCTGGGGGAGCTATGGTAGAAGAGCCAGGGTCTCCAAGAAGTGCTGGGAATGAGGGCTAACCCATTGCAGGAGCTTCTCAACCTCTTTCCTGACTTGCATGGAACAAACAGCTTCAGCCAGCCACCCAGCAGCTCCCAGGGCTGCAGCTTTTATTCCCCATCACAGCTGGTCTGAGGGAATTGCTAACACGGCCTTTGTGTTGATTGCTCCCCTGCAGAGACAGGCAGTTATTGATATGTACTTTCCCTGACAAAAACAGGCCCTTTATGGACTCCTTACTCCCATTTTCCTTCAATCACTCCCTGTACCCCTTTGCCTTCTGGCAGGCAGGATGTGTCACCAGCCCCTGGATCCATGACAATTATCACCTTCTTTGCCCACAGTTCACCAGTTTACCCACAGAGACATTTGCCCTGCAGGTACCCCTCACCACCTGCAGCTCTTGCCTGGCTCCCTGAGGTGTCCTACAAGGTGAGCACCATCACCTCTCTAAGCCAGCCTGGTTCAGTCAGACTGGGGAGGTTTTGGGGGAAAGCAGGAGGACTTCCCAGCTTGTGGGTGAATGTTATCCTACAAGTAGCCTGACCAGGCACACTTAGCTTGCCAGAAGCAATTACTGCCCTTTTGACATGATCAGGTCTGGACCTTTCTCAGGACAGCAGGTCCTGTTGTGGTAGGATAAGGAGGGATGGCTTTAAACAGAAGGAGGGTGGATTTAAATTAGCTATAAAAAAGGGTTTTTTACAATGAGGATGGTGAGCACTACCACAGGTTACACAGAGAGGTGGTAGATGCCCCATCCCTGGGAGCATTCGAGGCCAGGTGGGATGGCTCAGTTCTGAGCAATCTGATCTGGTTGACAATGTCCCTGCTCATTGCAGGGGGGTTGGACTAGATGACCTTTAACAGTCCCTTCCAACCCAAACTACTCCTTGATTCTATTATTAACCTGCAATGCTTTTGAAAGCCTGAACGCTTCATACAAATAAATCACCTTAATAACCAGTGACTGCAAGACAGCCAGCCGAGAACATTTTGTTTTGGTAAACAGATTATTGATTGTATATCTGTGTCCCTGAGATGAACTTGACTCCTTGACAGCAGCAGGAGCCCAACAAAACAGGTTCTCCATAACTCTAAAATGGTGCATGGCCTTTATCTGGAGCCAGCAGCACATCAGCTTTATGAAGGCAATAAAGCACCACTGATTTAGCATTGGCAGGGACTTCCCCCTCCCTGAAACGCTGCCTTTTCTTTGTTTGCACAGCTGACCCAAGCTGCACAGTGTGAACATGGACTTCAAGAGGCAAAGTCCATCTCCATGGCATGGATTTGCCAGGAATAAAATCTCTGTCCTTTTCGCACTGTGCTGATGATGGAGCTGTTGGCACAAAAGTAGGTCCAAGCAGGGAAAACACAGCTCGTGCCCTTTGTAGCAGCATCTTCAAACCAGTGCTTGATTTCCAGGGCTTTATGCCACTGTAACATTTATAATCAAGGGATGCCCAGCCAGAGAAGATAAGAAGAATGAAACATTGCCTCAGCCTTCTCTCCAGCACTCCCCATCACACCTATATGCACGGAGGAATATTTCCTCACACAGAGGAAATATTTTTTCTGTTGGTAGAACAGTTCCTACTGCAAAGCAATTTTCTACATGAGTTTAGATCTGTTGACAATTGCTGTCCCCACAGCAAAAATGTTTTGTTGGAGAACCAGGCAAGGAGCTCCAAAAGCAGGTGCCAATAATTTGTTTGGGGCATATAAACAAAAGCCCCTTTACCACACCAGGCAATGAGCTTTAATTAGTCTCCATCTCATCTCTGACAGGTTGTTTTAATCAAGCACATCCTAAGCAAGGCACGGACAGCATGTTCACTATGGATAATGAGGAGTGAGGCAGAGGGTAAAGCACAAGGGAGCATCATCAGCACCACAGCTCCTGCAGCCCCCTCAGCTCCCAGCCCCTAAAACACACAGCAGCCAGGCACACAACCCCTGGCCATGGCAGCATGATGCCAATTCCAAGATAATATAGTTGGGGAAGAGAAAGAACAGCTTTTAAGCTATTCCAGAGACCAGAGATATACTTTATGCTGAAAAAATATAAAGAATTGTGGATGAAAACTACTTTAAGACCCTTTTGTCCCAGGGAATAGTTACAGATCAGCAAATGTAACATCACATTCTCCTGAATTTTTCTGCCTTCCTGTATGGTTTTCTCTGAAAAAGGACAACAGCAATACTTAGAAACCACATTCCCCCTGCAGACCTACCTTGCTTCATTTACAACTCCTTATAAACCACACCAGCTTTCCCAAAACAGGCAAGAAGAAAGTTCCAGGGGTGTTTCATCTGAAGAAGTATCATCCATATCATTCCTATGCAATATAATTAGACAATACAATTCCTGTTTCATTTTTCTTAAGCCAAATATCTGGTTAAATTTTGGCCAAGGTACAGAAAATACCTTGAAGAGTTGTACCTTGGACATAAAAAAATTCCCATCTGCTGAAAAGTCAGTTATAGCCATGGCCTTAAGAAGTGCAATGAAATGGTTTACTCCCACCTAGCTACTGGTGCACAATAACCTTGCCAGAAGAATATAAAAACATCCAAAGAAGAGGAGCAAAGTGGAACACAGTTCTTGGCTACAGATCTATGAGCTGGCTCTCCTGGTTAAATGCACTCAGCCGGGTATGGCAGTGATGGATGCCTGTGTTTTCCTTTGCCTTATCTTGAAAGAAAGGTCAGGCAACATTTTAAAGGCTAAAGGAGACTCAAAAGACTCTTGATTTCCTTTTTCCTTTTTTTCTTCAGGGACATGCTGGTAAAGTAATCTTACATTGTTGCTCTATAACCTGGGGTGGATTTCTGACAAGCTTCACAGGACTCCTGCACCTCCGGATGCACATCTGAATTTCCAAAGCCGGATCAGAGACCCAGCTGGAGAAACCCAGCCAAACTCCCCCAGAGCAGCCTTGATTGCAAATCCCAGTACGTCAGCAACCCAGAGACCCTCCTCCAACTCGGATTAGAGGGAAGAGGCTCACCAGTGCAAGCAGCAGGTGCTGGAGGAGGCAGCGGAGCCGCTTCCCAGGTAAGGGACACTTCAGCCCTCTGTCCCCAATGCCGGCAGTCCCACTCACTTGATTGCTGTGCGACAACAAATGGCAAGAGAAGTGAGGCACTTCTCTTTGCAGACTGGTTGCCAAACCTTTGATCTTTACGGTGGGGGTAGGGGTCAGTTGTTTGCTCATTCCCTGTGGAGGAATTCTTGGAAGTATGGGTCAGGCAATAGTGATGGATGTGGTAACTACTGCAGATGGAATGATTCTTGCTGTGGCTCTAAAGTGGATTTGCTTTCAGGGTACTTTTCTCCCTCTTCCCTGGTTAATCCTGAACTTCTGAGATTAACAGGTTTGTCTGTCCGTCTGTGCCAAATTTGGGGTGCTGGCAGCTGTTTGTACTAGGGATGGTTTTCAGAGTGAGTAAGTTCATAGCCCACCCTTGCTTAAAGGTGTACTTTGATTGCAGGGTAATCCCCTTTAATGCTAATTTCAGAAATACTCCCTGAACTATTTTTTCCCCCTCTTTCTTTTGCTAGGGGACCCTGGGAGTGGGGAGTAGCAGTGTCAGAAACTTATTCATTGTTTGTGAAATCCAAGTCCAAGAAGAGCCTGAACTCCGACACAAAGGCAGGCGCTCATTAACCACTGGAACGCTTCTGCTCCTGCCCGGGAAGCCAGCGCTGTGCCAGAGAAACAGCAGCCGTCCCTCAGATCCTCCAAGGGCTGTGAACAGCCAGCCAGGCACGAAATTCCCCCTTCTGCCTCTTTGTTCCTGGCCAGCCCCTGAAGAACTCTCACAGCAGACAGCTGAACGGGAGCCGCTCAACTCCCCAGCAAAGAAACGCCAAAGCTCACCAGAATGCTCTCAGAAAGAAGAGTTCCTTGACTTATTTAGAAAGTCATTATTCTCTTGTTTTCTTGGTTCATGGAGCCTTATGTCTTCCAAACATTTTTTTCTCCCCTCGTCACTTCAAAATCTAACAGGGGGAAGAGGTAAGTTAGGTGGTCCATGAAGCCTCACAGCTCCCCTTTGAAAATAAGCTGCATCTAAATGAGGTAACAGCTGCTTCACACAGGAGGGGGGAAAAAAATCCCAACCAAACAAAAAATCTCTCACACTCCTGGGCTAGAGAGGCTTTCAGTGGCATCTGAGGGTGTTCTGTGATTAATAGGCATGGGAAACATCTCCTTTTGGGATGATCTGAACAGCTCCTGCAGCAATGCAGGCAACAGCTGCTATCCGGAAAACACCATGAGGTTCAACTTCACCCTCCAGGAGCAGGCAGCTGATTTCTACGTTGTCCTGCCTGTGATCTACTCTGTGATCTGTGCTGTGGGACTCACAGGCAACACTGCTGTCATCTATGTGATCCTCAAGGCCCCCAAGGCCCCTTCTGCTGAGCCCTGCTACAGGCAGGACAAAACCTGTGTGGTTGGCTTTGCCACTGATTGCAAGAGATGTGTGGAGCTGTTACCTGCCAAGCCCCTGGATCCAACTGTGCACGTGGATCTCTCCCATCTTCTAGGGCAGAGGAACACCCTGCACCCAAGGATCACGGAAAAGCTCTTCTAAGGATGGCCTGTCCAAGGGCTGCATGGACAAACACCTCTTAATGACATCCTGGCACTGTGGGGAGAGAAACCAGCAATCACCAGTCAGTTGGAGAAGTTGCCCCCTGTTCCCATGCCCAGGCCATGCTGGGTGTGCCCAGAGCTGGGCCTAAACTTCCCCATGGATCCTCTGTTTGGAGGAGAGCAGGAGAGCAGGACATGTGCCACCTCCTCAGCAGCTGCCAGAGCGGGATGCTCTCGAGCTGCTGCTGTTTCCCAGCTCTGGTATTCCCCCGTGGCCAGAGATGAGGATCCCGTGGGAACAAGATCCGCCCCCAGATGATCTCCTGGCCCCTCCTGAACGGGTGCTTCCCCATGACCAGGTGGTGCAGCAGGAGGCCCAGGGACCAGATCGTCGCTGCCTCGCCGTGGTAGCGTTGGTGGTGGATCCACTCTGGTGGGCTGTAGGACAGGGTTCCTGTGGAATACAGACAGAGCTCATCAGGGGGATGCTGCTGCTCCCAGAGCCTGGCCCCAGCACCCCTGGGCATGTGGGGGCTGCCCCAGTGGCACACGGGGTGATTGCTGCCCTCTCGCCAGCACCTGGGACTTGTGTACAGACTCGGGGCTGGAAAAGAAGCCACTGGTGCTGGAAGAGGGCAGCAGAAACCCTGGCAAGGCCCAAGCATGACACACAAAACAAAAACTCACCCAGTGGTGGAGAAAACCCCCTCTTCTCCCTGCCTGTATGGCCCCAAAAATGTTAACAAGCCAAGGCAAACAAGGGGAGCAGAGCAGTCCAAGCCCTTCCTCACCTGCACACCAAACTGGCATGGGGTCAGACCCCCCTCTCTGCTACCCCCATGGGGGTTTTTGTCGGGCTGGCTGCCCCAGCTCCAGCCCCAGCCCAGGGCACAGTGGGTGCTGAAGGCTGTCAGCAGGGCTGGGAGCTGGACCCCCTCACACCCCACCCAAATCAACCTGGCTCCAGCATTAATCCCATCCCGGCTGCAATAGGGGAAGCCCCGGTGCTGCACCTCGGCTGGGCCATGAGATGCCCAGGAGCATCCCCTGGCAGGGCTCACCTGCAAACTGGGTGTAGGCTGTGTCTCGGAGGAAGGCGCCACAGCCAAAGCCGATCAGTTTCAGCTGCCCGGTGGCCAGGTCGAGCAGGATGTTCCCTGGTTTGATGTCCCTGCGCAGGACCCCGCAGCTGGTGCAGCGCCGCACGGCCTCCAGCACCTGCGGAGCAGCCCCCGCGCCTCCTCCTCGGACAGGAGCCCCGAGCGCCCCCCGAGCGCCCCGGGCCGGCCATCCCCAGGCGTTCTCTGCCGGCCCCGGGACAGCGGCGGCTCGGGGCCGGCGGCCGCGCTGCCGAGCGGCGGAGCTCGGGCCGGGGCAGCCGCAGCGGAGGCGGCAGCGGCCGTGCCGCGTGTGTCCTCCGCGGGGCCCGGGAGGAGCCGGGGCCGGGGCCGGGGCCGGGGCCGGGGCCGGGCTCGGGCCAGGCGGAGCCAAAGGGCGGCGATGCCGCCCCAGCCCCGGGCACTGATGCCCGCCCAGCAGCGCCACCGCCAGCACGCCCAGAGCCGGGCGGAGGCGAGACCGCGGCGGGGCGGGCGGGGCGGGGACGGGGCAGCCCCGCCCGGGGCCGGGGCGGGCCGGGGGCATGGCCCGGCCCGGCATGGGGGAGAGGGAGAGCGGGAGAGGAGGGGACAGCGGGAGAGGGAGAGGGAAATTCGCTGCTTTTTCTGTCGCTGCTGCTGCTGCAGCTGAAGCTCCGTGTCCGTGTCCCCGTGTCAGTGTCCCCGTGTCCGTGTGTCCCCATGTCCGTGTGTCCCCGTGTCCGTGTCCCCATGTCCATGTGTCCCCGTGTCCGTGTCCCCGTGTCCGTGTCCCCGTGTCCGTGTGTCCCCGTGTCCGTGTGTCCGCTGCCCACTCGCCCCCGTGCCCAGCCCCGCGCTCCCCGGGGCAGCCCCTGAGCCTGTCCCAACACGGGAACTTTGCAGTGTTGAGCCCAGACCCAGAGTCTGGACTCCTGCACAGGGACACAGGAATCCCCTCGGTCACTGCTGTGCATTGTCCCTGCTGAGGGTCAAACGCTATCGGAGCACATTCCCTGAATGCTGAATTTGTACCTGACCCAAGCACTGCACTTAGTCTCCAGCATTGATTAAAAAAAAAAAAAAAAAAATTCAGGGTAAGGCAAACCGTGTGTAGCTCATGGTATTTTACAGTGTCTAAAACTTGCCAAGTCGTGGCTCTTAGAAGTGAGATCCATTTGGATTAATGGGATGGGGAAGTAGTGCAAGATGGAAAAGGGGAGCATAAAAGGAAACAGAAAAACATCTTAGATTGTTTGTTCCATTTTAATTTCATTTCTTAAAAGCTGTTTCAGTTTTCCCAGAATCTTCTCCACAGTCCTGTTTGCTCTTTCCAAGAACCTTTGCTGGAGAACGAGGAAGCTTTGAGCAGTTTCTGGCACAAGATGTGCCACCAGCTGCAGCTTCTCTTGGCTTTCCACACCGTGTGTGCTGCTCGACTCTTGCAGCACAGCAGGACAAATATTTGAAGAACTTTACAACTTGTTCTTTCTTTTCCTTGTGGGCTGGGTAGTTGTGCCATTTGTGAGGTTTTCATTGTTACTGTTCTACCCTAAGAAACCATGACAGGCTGCCAGGAATTGTCAGGGAATGCAAGCCTGACTGAATGCAGAGAAAGAATCTCCAGAGCCTGCAGCCAGAAATGGAGAGCTGGGTGATATCATTCCAACATCCCCATGGACATCTTGAAAGTGATGTAGAACATGAACATGGGCTGACAGAGGAAGTTTCTTTCTGAGTTCACTGTAGAGGATTCCACATCTGGTGCATTGATGCATAAGTCAAGAGTTCAATCAGTCTTGGAAAGCACCAGAACAAGCTGGACCTCTCAGGAGATGACTGAAAGAATCTGAAAAGGAGAAATGCAGGCAATGACTTGGTGAACTTTGTCTGGAAGAAGGGTCACTTTTTCCTAATAATTTCTAATCCATCTCCTCTGCATTTGTCTTTCTGAAAAAGGCCATTTGCGTCCCAGATTCACCATGAAATGGGAACCCTGAGCTTGTTGAAGTGCCTGAAAGATGCCCTGTTCCTCTGCAGGGACACTCAGGCTGGAGCAGGAGCCCTCTCTGGGGAAGCCTCCTCCGAGCTGGAATTTGTGCCGTGCTGGGAGAGGAGGAGGAGGGGAGAAGGCTGGGCACTGTGTGGCAGGAGCAGGGATTTGGGCCGCAGGACATTCCGTCTGTGCCGCTGCCCCACAATGGGCGGGAACGCTGTGGGGATAACTGGGGGACACTGGAGCGGAATATGGATGGCACTGGGGAGAACTGGGAGGGCCTGGGAATTAACTCAGGTGTATTGGGAGGGACTGGGCTGTACTGGGATGGATTGGAGGGGCACTGGGGCTGTACTGGGCTGTACTGGGGATGAACTGGGCTGTGCTGGGAGGGACTGGAGGGGCACTGGGGCTGTACTGGGCTGTACTGGGGATGAACTGGGCTGTGCTGGGAGGGACTGGAGGAGCACTGGGGCTGTACTGGGCTGTACTGGGGATGAACTGGGCTGTGCTGGGAGGGACTGGAGGGGCACTGGGGCTGTACTGGGCTGTACTGGGGATGAACTGGGCTGTGCTGGGAGGGACTGGAGGGGCACTGGGGCTGTACTGGGCTGTACTGGGGATGAACTGGGCTGTGCTGGGAGGGACTGGAGGGGTTGAATGGGCTGTTCCCGCCTCCACAGCCTCCCATTGGCCGTGACTCCCGCCCATCGCAGCCTCCAACCAATCAGCGTCAGGGATCGATCATGGCTTTGGGGGCGGTGCCTGGAGCCTGCGCCATCTTTTCTTTTGCCTACAACTCCCATCATGCCCCGCAGCCCAATAGAGCCCCATTGGGGCCGGGACTACAACGCCCGTCATGCCCCGCGCTCCACAGAACCGCCCCGGTACCGCCCCCATCTGTCCCGTAAGTGTCCCCCAGACCCTCCGGGATCCCCAAGTGCCCCTCAGCGCCCATTCGGGACCCCCCAAAATTTTACTGGTAAAGTACAAAAAACAAGAAACTTTGGGAAAGCATTTAATACAAATCA